AGGAGCCGCCGGGGCGGGGAAGGGGGCCTCGCAGCTCCTGCCCCGGCAGCCACTGCGGGGACAGGGCAGCAAGGCAGGTCTAGAGCCATCCTCCCCTTTGGCCTGGCGTCCCGCTGCGGCCTCGGGTGATGTCTGAGCAGTGGTAGCACCCAGGCTGTTGTGTTTAATTGCTGTCCACAGTTGGGTCTCGCAGATTCGCCTATTCCCTTTTTGAACCCATCTGAGATTTCCATTTCTGCGATTGTCTGTAGCAGTGAATTCGGCAAGTTTATTACAGGTTCTTGAAGAAGCGGTGCTCCCACAGGTTTCTGGTCTCCAAAAATACTTTATTATTTTTACGCTATTAACATACAGCAAGTGCTGCTCTTTTGTTTTGGCCACCCACCCCGTAGCCATCTGGCTTTGGGTGGAGGATGTACTTCCTCCTTCAAGGCAAATGAAGGACTCCAGTTTTGTTAGGAGTGTCTGCTGGCTACTTCTGATATTCAAGGTGTTCTCCAGGCTCTTGCTCCTCCTCCGGTGAGTCTGGTTTTATTTGGGAAGTCTGTTGTTTGACCAGCTCCTGGAGATTGTTTGGATGCAAATGAAGTGTTTGTGATTTCTGTGGCAGAAGAGAGGGCGTTTCCTGCGCTGCTCAAAGCCGTGCCTGATTGTTACAACCTTCTTAAGCCTCTTACAATGTTCTGCAAGTTACATAATGTACACATAATAATTAATTGTGTTCACTTTCAATCATGAACATAGATTATAGCATGCCTTCAGCTCTTTATCTGCACTGCATATGACACGCTGGTATTGTAGCCTGAGTGCAGTGCTTAGGGCACTGCTTTTGCTGTTGCTTGCCCTCGGTTCTGGGGTCCTTTACAGCATGTGCCCCCCAAAAAGGCATCTAGTCTCTGGTGCTTCCCTTGTCCCACGTGCCTTGAGGAAGGGAGTGCTGTAGGACTTTCTGTGCTCCCGCAGGGCAGGAGGGAGGGTCCCCAGCCCATGGTGCATGGGCTCTGTGCTGCCTTCCTGCCCTCAGCTCAGCTGCTCCTTCCCATCCGCAGCTCTGGCTGCAGAGCCTCCCGGGCATGGGCAGCATCAGGACCTCATACAGCTTCGTGTCTCTAGATAAGATGGAAGGGAGGGAAGAGCCATAAATCTCCTGCCTGGAGGGAGCAGGGAGAGCATGGCAGGATCCTTGTTAGGATCTCGAGGGAGACCACGGTGACCTGATGATTTCTCCTCTCTGTTCTGCAGATTCATTTGTGAACAGCCAGGAATGGACCCTGAGTCGCTCGGTGCCTGAGCTGAAGGTGGTGAGTACTTGCGGCTCATGCCTTGGATACCCCTGGTTCTCTGATGCTTCTTCAAATCCCCAAGAAAAACCTGTGTTTTAATGTGGCCAAGTGGAAGTGCATAGAGGCTTCAGCCTTGTGGAGGGGAGAGAGGAGCTGGGGCTGCTGTCATGCTGGGGGAAGGCAAGAGCTTCTTGGTGGCTCACACTTGTAAGGGAGAGGGTGTTGGTCTGGGAGACCACTCAGATGTGAAGGCTGAAAGGCGATATTTGACCACCTCACCCTTCCTGCTGGCCATAGTAGAGTCGTAATTCCTGACTAGGTACTGCTGCACGGGCTAGATCTTCTAGTGTAGCAGAAGCAGGGGCAGATCCTGAGTGGCAGTACAGGCATGCATCCACGGCCATCACCCTCAGAGCAGCCGTCCAAGCGTGGGAGTTACCCACGTGGGAGGTGTCACCTCTCTGTTTGAGCCTTGTTGACTTCAGCTCTGCGCTGGTGCTTCCCTGGCCTCTACTGGCCACCTCCCAGACACGACTGCCCCGTGGTGTCCCTGCTGTGGAGGGATGCTGGTGGGATGAAACTGTCACTTCTGGTGCTTTGTTCTGCCAGACAGAGGGGATGAAGCTCCTCTGGTTTGTCAGCACGGGGCGGGTTTCCCAGGGCACGCCGTTACCAGGTTTCATCACCTACTTGTGGGATTCGGTCTCTGCTAGGGGAGCTGCCTCTGCCCCCGACACAGCCCCCTTCACGTGGGACAGGGTCATGAGGGAGGGGGCCTGGTCTCGGGGTGTGGCACCTCTGACATGGGAGATGTTGCCCATGGCCTGCCATTGCTGATGGCTGCGTGCCAGCTTGCTGGGGCCATCTGTGAGCTGGCACAGGTCATGGCAGCAGAAGGACATGGAGGGTGTTCTGCTCGAGCCGAGCTGGCTGGCGAGCACAAGGGGCAGAAGCTGTGCCTTGGGGTGAGGGACAAAGTGGGACCTCATTGCTGGTGGCAATGAGCTCGTGGGGTGGTTCAGGCATTCACAGAAAAGCACCCTCGGCAGCCATGCTGCGAGCACTGGGGTAGCGCTGGAAGGGACGTCGGGGCGGGCAGGATGCCGCAGGCGCTTCTGAGTGTCTGTCTGGCTGTTCTCGGGGACCTTGGCAATCTGTTCCACCGCTCCACTCTTCTCACGCTCTCCGTGGCAGCCCTTAACTCCCTTTGAAGACTGTTGGCATGTCTACCTTCAGCCCTTTCAAGATTAATTTTTTTCGATCTTAATCCAAGAAACAAGAAGCCTTTTTGCAAAACATACCAGCACCATGCTGTCACATTTTTCTTATCTGCAGTTAAGTAAAAATTAAAACAAACATAGAATATTCATTTGTTAGTTTGGCTTGTAAAATGTGTCTCTGTTGAAAAATATTCTTGCAGCTATTCTGTGTATTGCCTTCTGACATTTTAGCATTCTGTAGGCTACAAAACAGTGCTGCAAACTAAACAAACCTAAAGCTTTTAGTTCTTCCTCAATTAACACAATCTATTTTCCATGACCTCTGGAGATCTCTGTTGCTCTGGGGTTTCATCCAGCTGATGCAGGTCTTCCTAAAAGCCTGGAGGCCTTTCAGAGTCCTGGTTCAGTCCCGGCCTTGCTGGGCTGAACCCCCTTCTGTCGTGTCTCTGGGGTTAGGCTGGAGCAGCCGACTGTGGTGGGGGACCCTGTGCTTGGGTGGGCAGACCTCTGGGCAGTGGGGTGGTCACCCAGGATTTCTTCTGCGGCTGTGGAGGGAAGGTCGTCATGTAACGGCAGAACTGCTTCTGCCTGGGTCTGTGAGGGCGGTCAGCCAGTGGGGATGGGGAAAGCCGCGCAGGTCCTGAGTTTTCGGGCGGGTGTCTAAGGGGTCTGTTGCACACCGCGCTGCTTCGGCCCTGGGTGCGCCAATGCTACAGTGCCTCAGCTCCCGTCTCGCCCACCCCAGCAGTGCAGCCGTCCCTGTCTGTTGCAGCACCCAGCTCTTCTCCCCAGGTCACTGCAGACAGATTGGTCTTTGATCGAGCGTCACAAGTTACCACCAGGTTACAGTGGTACGGAAGGGGTCCCCACATGGCACCCATCCTGGAGTCTGTACGGGGATCACTAAATGGCTGAGACGTTCCCAGGCTTTGCTCCCTTCCAGTTTTCAAGCAACTCTGCCCTCGGCTCCCACCTCAGCCTCACCAGCCCTGTCCTCAGAGGCATGCTCGACGCAGGGAGGTGCTCTGGGTGGAGCAAGGTCTTGCCTGTGCAGCTGGCACGAGGCTCAGCAGTGATCTCAGCAGTGATGCAGAAGCGGCTCCTGCAGCAGAGCCACCCAGTCCTCAGTCCTGCCTGTATGATGCTTCACTGAGTGCACCATGTGCCCCTGTGAAAAATGTGTCTGAAACCAAAAAACATCCTAGTGCTGGGCAAACTCAGGGTCTTTTGATAAAAGGCAGAGCACACTGTTTATGATGGGAGGGGCTTGCACGAAGCACCCGCTCTGTCTCTGATCTGCCAGTCCTTGTCCCCAAGGGAGACCTACACTGAGCCTATGAACCAAGATTCATAATTCTGTGAGTATAGAAAACCATGGACTCGTTGAGGGCTTCTGTTTCATGGCACATAAAGCATTGACCGCAGCCCATATCCCTCCTTCTGCGGCAATGAGCTGTTTCCTTTACCTCTCCTGCAGGAGGTAAGGATCTTACCGCTTTCTTCCCTGCTCATGTTCCTATTTGCACCACAAGTGGTCAGTGTACTTTCTCTAAGGTTTATTAATAGCTTGATTTATTTAAGTTATGCTCAGCAGTTTTTTCCACCTCAGTTTTATCCTGAAGCTTCCTCCATCTGCTGCAGGCTGAGAGGAGTCTGCGTCTGAGAGAAGGCAGCAATTCCTGCAAACCTTGCCTTCCCTGTGGGAAAGGCACAAATGATGCCTGTTGGCAGGCACTCGTCCCCCAGACCCGATACTGGGCAATATCAGCCCTTCACTGGCTAGCACAGAAGCAGGCTGCATTCCCTCGTTCTCCCAACATGTCTTGATACAGAGGTTTCCATAGTGCCTACACATTACGTTTTACTTCGGTTTGCTGCCTCTAAGGGTTATGTTCCTCAAGACTGTCAGTTCTGTTTGAGCTTGTTTGTAACACCAGATGAAGATAAGACAAAGCAGAAGTGTATTTCAGCAAGACGTAGGTCAGGATTTTGGTTATAAACAAACAAGTGTAAATGCAGCCTCCATCCAAGTTTGAGAGAGCTGAATATTGTTGGAGTGTTTAATCTCTGATGTTGTGTGGAGTTCTAGCTGCCAGGCGGCCTCAGGGAGCCACTGTTTTGCAAAGGTTTCCCCAGGGACTGGAGCTGTGGCTAGCCTGGGCACAGAGCTGAGCCCCCGAGCTGCCCACTCTGTGCGGTGGTCTCCACAGTTTCTTCTCTGTCTCCACGTCTTTATATCACAGACTGCTCACACTGCCATTGAAGTGGGGCAGTGGCAGGGAGGGCTCAGCCAGAGGAAGGGGTGTTACCTTCATTCATAACATGGGCTACGGCATTCGTGTAGCCCTTAAATCTCCGCAGATCGCTTGGCTCCAGAAGCACGTGTGTGTTACCTGTGAGGTTTGCAGTCTGGTACGTGTTCTCGTCTGTCTAAACGTGCTGTGTATGATCTGTAATTACTGTTGCGGGTGACAGACCTGGTAGCGATGCGTTCGGCCCAGGCATGCCTGTGAGAGCGTGTTGATCTTCACTTCCTAGTCCCAGGCTCCTGGCACCCCGGTCCTGCCGCTCACTGGCTCCATGTGGTGTGGGCGTGAGAGGTGCCGGCAAACCGGACGGTTTCCTGCGCTCCTGTAGCACGGTCTGCCGCTGGCTGAGCGCCTGCTGCTGTGGGGTTGGCACATCTTTGCCTCTCATCAGGAGCGTGCGGGTAGCCCGGGGCAGGACCCGGTGCAGCGGGAGCTTTCGAGCACCTGGCTGAAAGCTGGAGAACCTGTCTGGTGGTGACTCACCCACCAAGCTCATCCCTTTGCCTGGAAAAGGTTGGCCATAAACTTCTCTTCGTTGGCAGAGGCAGCTTTAATGTTCATAGCCACTCCTCTCCTCACCCCGTACTTCTTTTGGTACTGGTGGGGCTGTGTGCGGCTGTACTGCAGACCTGCTCTGGCAACTGAGCAGCTTTGAAAATAGCACTGCAAGCGAGCGCTGGGCCAGACAGCCTGTTCTTGATTCCTTTTGCTCCAGAGTTGCACAGACCGTGTCAGTGGCGCAGTCAGGGGTGTAATGCAAGATGGGTGCAGGGGGCAGGCGTGGGGTGCGGCAGGGAGAGTCAGTGCAGGCAGGTGGCATGGAGTTGAGCGCTGTGCGACTGCAGTTAGGCCACTTCTGGCAGCATGGTATGTCTGCCCTGTTCCGTAGCCTGCCACCGGCGTGTCACCACAGGTTGTGTCTGCGAGACCTGCCTATGGCCCCTGAGTACTGAGAAGGGTGCTTTCCTTGGCAAGCAGGGAAGAGCCAGTGGCCAGAGCTGAAATCGTCTTGGCCCACACTTGGACATCATGAGGAAGTGTTACCAGAACGTGTTGTCGGGCTCTGGAGGCCCTGCCCCTACAGCGCGGCTCTCGGTCCTGTCCCCTGGCATGGGCGGGCTGCCCTGGGGACACCTGGGGCCTGGGAGTGCGGGAGTGGGCACAGCCCGAGGCAGTGGGCCAGGTGGGGAGAGCCGCCCCCAGCCCCAGTGCGTGGGACTCGGGTCTCTTGGGGTGACGTGTCCCCTGCTGGGCTGGGTCTGGACTGAGCATGTAGCAGGTTTCATTCCTGTCGCTCGGAGGGGCCGGGCTCAGGTGGGCTGTGGATGGGGTGAGGGCATGGTGCACAGCACCTGCTCAGGAAGGAGCTGGTCCTCGCTCAGCTGCGTGGGCTCTTCCCTGAGTTGTCCAGCAGTACCATGTCCATGTTTCCAGGAGCTGGGGCTCGCTGGAGCCTGGGAGGAGCAGACAAGTGGAGAGCTCTGACACCACCGTGCCTTGTGGCAGTTTCCGATACCCAGGCGACACTTGGAGACAAGTGATGGGACTTGGGATTTTTATTTTGTCTCTTGTACATGTAAGGGTATGTGCTGTTTTCACGAACAGTATTAGCTTTTCAGTGCCGTGTGGCTGCTTGAAATTTTCATTGTAAAGATACCGTACTTCTGCCTGGGATTTCCTGCGCAGAAATATACCCACCGGGTCTGTGCAGCACCTAGGCAGAGACTGGTATTTCCAGCAAATGTGGGCACTCGCACATGCCCAGTGAATCTCATGGTCTGGTCCAATGGTGGGTTTAGGAAGGGTGCAAGGTCAGCGGTGCACTGCCAAACACTTTAGTCTCACTGTGCATTTGTTGTGAAGCAGCTTTGGACATGCAGGGGATGTTGTATTTTCCAGAAAAAAAGCAACCCCATTTAGAGGTCTGCACGGGATGTCTCTGGTGGCTTCTGTCTGGTAGATGTACCAGACATCTTAAATCCCAGTAAAACAACAAGTCCTCACAATCCATGCTAACTAATCTTGGGGACAGAGAAGGAGGATGCCTACAAAAGCATTTGGGTGGATGGTATGCTGGGCAACAACAACAAAAAGTCAGTGGGACAAAGTGTGAACCTTCAGTAGTGGAGAGACCCCCAGGCTCTAGGTTTTACAGGGCAGTACAGGCAGGTGCTCCACATGGTGTTGGTGTGTCAGACACCCACCCCAAGGATGTCTTCATGGGAGCACTGGGAGTGTGGTTTAGAGCAGGAGGAGGTGTAGGGTGCTGTAAAGCAGGAGTCGGTTATGTATGAGAAGATCCATGGTAAGGTCAGACTATCCAAAGCCAAAGGTAGGTTAGGTGCTTTTTGGTAAGCTGTGTGGAAAAGGAGTGGGAGCTCACTTTGCCCAGATACGGTGAGCTGTGGCCTCGGCTTAGCCGGGACAGCTTCCTGGGCTCTGCACGGTGAACAGCTGGTAGGAGCTTTCCCGCCTTCTTCACCAACCAGGGTTTTGAGGTGCACAGGCCTGTGTAAGAAGTGAGTTAGGAACAGCTCTTCTGGCTCCTGGCTGAGAGTGCCTCTCCACAGTCCTGGGGCATCGGGAGGAGGTAGAAGAGCACAGGCGAAGGGCGCCTCTGCATCGCCCCGGCGTTTCTACTCCAGCTCCATCAGAGCAACGCTGCAGCTGAGGCTAGAGGAGCACGAGGTGGGATGCTCAGTAACGCGAGAGCCCGCTTCATGAGCTGCGTTGTCCCTGTGGATGTGGGGAATAAGCTGACCAGCTGGAACTAGATTTTTTTGCAAGAATGGCAGAAGATGCCCCTTTACCCCAGAACTGCTATCCCATCAGCAGGCAAGCACACTTGCAAGCCCTTAGGCACTCGGTTTTTTTTAAATCATTGGGAAAATGCTGATATTAGGAAAAATTGGGTTGTCTGGCTGACCCATCCTGGGACAGCTACATTCGTTTTGTAGCAAATTTGTAGGATGATCCAGACTGACAGACCCCTAGCCTAGTGTGTTTCAACCCAGTTAAAAATTAGTGCTAGGTATCTTTATTTTTCAACTTGGTTAAAAATTGGTGCTAGGTGTCGTTCTGTGTAGGCAGCACGGCCAGCTCCACTGGGAAACGTGCGCTCTGCTACAGCAGCATCACTGCCGCAGCGAGGAGCAAGTGCTGTGCCTTGCTGCTGGTATTGGAAGCAGCAGCTGTACTGAACGCATGGCCAGTCTCTGCTCTCGTTCTCCTTCTGGCAGGTGCTGTCAAGAGCTGTAACGCCCCAAAATTTGGGATGTGTGGGCTGGGAGAACAGGTTTTTTTCCTTCAGAGTTGACTGTGGCTTGGGAGGGCAAGCATCCCCCCCCGATGAGCAGGAGGGCTGTGGGAAGAGCTAACGTGGCGCTGACAGGGCTGCACCTGTTTGGGGGAGGACAAGGGTCTTCACCACCCTCTGGCTGGCTGTGCCCCAGTACCTGCTGCTCTCTGCCTGACTGAGACCAGCTAATGCCCCCAGGCTTACTGAGTACCAGCTGTGTTGTGCCATCCCTTGTGCCCTCCATGACCGTCTCTGCCCATCATCGGCACACGCCTGGTTACTGGTGGGCTCACCTCGCAGGGCTGGCCTCATGTAGAGGAAGGCGTGCTGGGCACACAGTAAGTGGGTGACGCGCATCTCTGTTTCAGGGCATCGTGGGGAACCTGTCCAGCGGCAAGTCAGCCCTCGTGCACCGCTACCTGACCGGCACCTACGTGCAGGAGGAGTCTCCCGAGGGTAAGGTCTGGTTTCCAGGGTGCCTGGGGAGTGGTCTGAGTCCTCACTCCTCTCCCCAGCTCTAAAGGTGACCCCCGTCTCTGCACCTCATCTGCCAGTGCCGCAGAGCTCTGCAGCCTCCCCTGGCCTTCGTTAGGGGTTTCCCTCTGCTTGTTCCCCCCCCTCACTTGACCTGCTGCTTTGCTCTCTTCCCAAGGTGGCCGATTTAAGAAGGAGATCGTAGTGGATGGTCAGAGTTACTTGCTGCTGATTCGAGATGAAGGGGGCCCCCCCGAACTCCAGGTAGGAGACCCGTACCTCCCGCGGTCCCTTCCCACCCTGTCCTGCTGGAGGGATTGGAGGGCTCCTGGGGAGGGACCTACCCGGTTGCCTCTTGGGAGTCCGGTTGTGGGAGAACATGAGGACTGCGAGGCCTGAGGAGGGGCTACCCCTATGGTGACTGTTGACCTCAGGGTCTCCCCGTGGTGCCGGGAAGCTTGTGCCACAGGGCCTGGGGCGTGCGCTCGGCTGAGCCTGGCTGCAGCACCCCACGCATCTGCTGTGTGGCTGCCCTTGCTGGCGGCTCTGGGCCCAGGGCTCCAGGACGCTTGTCTGGACTGTAACGGCTGGTGTGTCTCCCTCAGTTTGCTGCCTGGGTCGATGCTGTGGTGTTTGTCTTCAGCCTGGAGGATGAGATCAGCTTCCAGACAGTCTACAACTACTACCTGCGGCTCTGCAGCTACCGGAACACAGCGGAGGTGCCGATGGTGCTGGTGGGCACACAGGGTGAGAGCGGGGTGGCCAGGTTTACTCCCCACATCCTCCCTGCCTCGGTCAGGAGCACTGGTGACATGTCTACACTGGCAAGAGAGTGTAGGGTGCTAGCCCTGCAAGTGCATCGGGAGATCCCAGTCTGTAAGCCGTACGAGGGACAGAGTTACTCTGAGGCCCCTAGTCTAGGGCCCTGGAGGAGCTGAATAATTCCTTCTCAGACCATTTCAGCTTGCCTGCAGAGAGCTGCCTTACTTCATGGAGCCACTTTCTTCTTCAAAATGCCCAAACCTGTTGGCGTTGCCTGCCTTCCTCAGTTTAGCCTGCAGCAGCTGGGCGCAGGCAGGAGTCAGGGCCTGGGTGTAGGAGGGTTTTCTGCTGGTGCATTGCCCTTCATCCTCTGGGACAATCTGCAGCAGAGAAGGTTTCGGGGGATGGCACCTTGCTTTCAGCACCCCGAGAAGAGGCCTGACCTGTGGAGCACCATCTCCCCTGAGGTGCTGCCAGCGCACGTGGATGTGGGGAAGAGAAGCAGCAGCTCAGAACTGCCCTCCCCGCCCTCTCCTCTGCAGGGCTGGGGACTGGAGCCAGCTGGGATTGGGATGGAGGCTGTAAGGGAACTGTCACGAAACTGCAGCTGAGGCTGCCAGTGGAGGCAGGAGACACAGTGCCTGGAGCCCCAGCTGGGCACCCCAGATGTGCCTGGGCAAGAAGCTGCCGATGGAGAGGGGCTGCTGGGAGAGAGGGCAGCCCTTGACCGGGATTCCTGCCTTGCGCAGTGTGCGTCAGAGGCAGCCTGGCCTCCGAAAGGCTTGCTATGGGTGCCTAGGAGGCAGGGAGGGGCAGCAACGAGGGTATTGCTGCAGGTGTCTGAGCTCCGCT